TCTTTACTTGCGAGCAGTGCATACTGGACAGGCACTATGCTGTTTCAAAGAAGCTGACATATAATGCAACCCTAGCACCTCGGAGAATTCTCACTTTCCGCTCCCTGTGTGTAGGCGCACAGCTCTTACTACATTACCTATACTAATCTAACAACCCCCCTAGCGTGCATGCATAGGCAAATTAATGTATGGGCCAGCTGGGCATGGGCTCAGGGACTCTGCTAAACAGGGTCCCCAAATGCCTAGAGGGTGGGCACGTGGTGGGGAGAGTGGGCAGCTCTGTGTGGATGAAACTGGTGGCCAGGCCAGGCCAGGCCACGTATGTGACACGGCGGGCTATGGCTGCTGGGTACCAGGCAGGGTGCAAGGTGTGGGAGTCACTGCGCCGGAGCCCTGGGAGTGGCTGGACCCACTGGCGGCAGGAAGCAGAGCCGGGCACGGTGCATGGCTGGGACCTGTTGGTGTCAACGCAGCCCCAGCACAGCCAGGTCCCAGTCTAGCTGGCCACAATCCTGCACATTTGCCGAGCACCACTGCAGCTGGACTGAGCTGCGATGGGGCGAGGGGCCGCCCCTGGAGCTCAGTCCACGCTGCACATGCCTGGCAGGCAGTGGCTCCACACTCCTGGTGCTACCCAGCCACGTAGCAATGTTGTGCAGGGTCCTGCATGACCAGCCCCAAGCTCCAACTCCAGTGTGGACCTGTGGATGGGGGCAGCTGTGGCTCCTGCCCTGGGCCTGGGGGGCAAGGCACGGGTTGAGGGGGCAGAAAGGGATGTTGGGGGGACCCAGCCATGTGGGGGGGAGCCCCAGGCCCCAGTGAATTTTAATCCACCTCATGTTGGTATAGATGTGCTAATATCATTAAGTGAATAAGCTACATCAATTTACAGTACCTTGATGATGGAACAATTGTATCCATAGTGGGCACGTCTACATGAGATGTTTACTGTGCAGTAGACTAATCAGCTGCACAGTAAATATCTGGATGATTACATGTGCACCCCATCAGACTGGAGTAAACTAATTTACTCTGCAGCAGTGCACATGTAGATGCTGCCCCAGCTGCCTGAGGCACGAGAGTGCTTCTGTGTGGAGAGCTGCCTGCTGGCTAGCCCAGTGCTGAAGCAGCCTCATGACCCAGCCAGTCCCTCTGCGGGACACTGAGGCATGGGGGGAGGCTGGCAGGCTGATCCCATGTGCCAACACATGCTGGGAGCAATAAACTCCAGAGCAATATGCTGGAACTAGAACTTTACTGAAACAAAACTGACGTCTAAGCCAGGCCTTGCACCAGAAAAATCCGATCTGTTTGAACTAACTTAATTTATTCACTAGGGTCTACAATGTGCCAGGTGAGCCTATCTGCCCTGGCATTGTGTCATGCAAGTCCCTTTGTCTCTCTGGATAAATTCTGTTAGTGGCCGTAAGCAGATTGTTAGCACCTTACCCTAAGGAAGGTGGTGCTAAGTGATAGTTTGAACAAGCCCTTATTCTATCGGCTATTGACCTCTGCTGTACCTGCATTTTTCTGCAGAATCAACTGTAAAGTAGAGAGATATATTAGACAAAAGTTTGGGCACAAAGTCCCCTCCCTCAGACATAAGAAAGAAGTAGATACAGCCTATGCTAAATACCAGATAAGATACAGACTTTTGTTTAACTTCTGTATGAAAATGGTCACTTTAAAGAAGTGGAGAGTAAACCTGTGGAGCAAAAAGAAGTCAACAGAAGTAGCTACAAAACAAGTAGAAGACAACTAAAATACATCATCTAATTATGCAAAAGAGTAAGAGTATTCAAAATGGAAGCATCATGTTATTAGTTATGGAGTTCAAGGAGGTTAGCAGAGAGAACAGGTATATTGTAATGAGCCATCGCCCGTGGAGAGCTTTATGAGCAAACATAAAGACTGAAAATGAATGGCTCTTCTCAGCTTTAACTACAGTACTGTTAATGTTTTGCACTTCTTTAGCACCTCTCATTAGAAGATCTGAATGAAGTTTGACTTCACTGTAGCACTGTCAACACAGATAGGGAAGGTGAAGCAAGCAAAGTCAACTGACTTTTCTAGTCATACAGAAGGCCTGGCAGGGTTGGGATTAACACCCAGTTTTCTTCATTCTGAATTACAAGTGTACTGCCTACTTTTAATTAGATATGGAGTTTGGTTTAGCTTCTCTGAGGAAAAGTAATCTGGTGGTTAGGCAACTAGATGAAGATTGTTTCAAATCCCTTCAACTCTAATCGATAAACCCTAGTCAGCCATGACTAAACTGGATGGAAAGCAGTGACTACAGTCTACTATGCAATACGTGTTTCAGTGTTACCAAGCATATTCTTCTTTTAGGCCCTTTTGTTTTTCCCATCCCTTCAAATCTTATTGTAAGCTTTTCTGGGAGCTCTATGTCCTTGCTTAAATATCTGTAGCGTTCCTGAGCTGCTTCCAGCTTTGTGGTGTACTGTGCCCGCTGCTGCAGCATGCTGCCTCAGCACGTATCACTTCCTGGACATGTACTGGAGTCACCCTCCAATTTGTTCCTCCTACAACTCCTGTTCCAGCCTTCAGGTTCATACAACTCCAGCCTTGCCTTCACTTGTCTCGCTTTGCTATTAGCTGCCTGAGTGCGCACACATCCCCCCCAGCAATAGTATCAAAACTCTCACTTGCACCCTGGGAAAGCTCCCGTCTCCTGTGCCTTCTGCCAGCTGCTGGACTGTGGCAGGTGGCTTCCTCTGCCTGTCACAGGTGGTGAAACCGGGGGAGCTTTTTGCAGCTACAAAGCTTTGGGTTTGCTAGCAGAACTCTGCAGTGTAGACTACACCTAAGCCATTTTCTGAATGTTTGGCTGGGTCTTATGGGAGACTTGTCTGACCCTTCTGGAGATCACAGGCAGAAATGGTATGAGCTGGGAAACTAAACTAGTTTGCATACTAGTTTCTTTCTGCAACCCATTTCCTAGCTGGTGGCAGGGAATGCATGAGTCCTGTGGTAAGCCAGCACCAGCACTTATTCAACTCTCATTTTTCTGGGAAGATGAAAACATTGAGTATAGAGTATAAAAAAGAGTATATAAAAGAGATGGTGACAGAAGGCATGGCTGAGGCTTCATGCCACAGGAAACCATTGCGGTGCTACCTTAAAAGACACAGGCAGGGAGCAAAGCATACAGGAAGGAAGTGGAGCCCGGGGTGAACACATTGGTTCCTCATGGTGACAAAATACCTCTCCACATGCTTGGCAGTGGTTCTGGATCAGGCCCACGTGCATGAGGTGATAAGACCACAAGACACGGGATCGCCAGAGGTAGGCCCAGAATGTATCAGACAGGTCAATTCCTCAACCGGTGCCAGGAGCTTCCCCCGCTCGGGAACAGAGGAAGATGCGAAGATTAGATCCATGCTTCTCAACCTTTTTAGGCAGGAGGCACCCCTTGAAAAATGCCAGCTCTTACTTTTAAGAGTAGTTTCTGTTGCAAAACAAAAATTAATGGAGCAGTAGTTTCTGTTGCAGAGGACTCAGAAAGGCCACAACTATGGGTTTCTATTTGAAATCTCTGGGTTTATCTTGCGAATCATGTTTGCAAACCTAACAGTGCTAACAACATTGTGTGGCACCCAGAGGCACCCATGAAAAGTTTTCAAGGCACCCCTGGGATCACTGGAGTCAAGGGACAACAGCAGTCCTGAAGTGGGTGGCTACTGCCCGCTGAAAGCTTCCTCGTCGGGATCATTACAGATCTGTGGCTAATCAGCTCAGAGCCGACAAGCCAACTGGTGGTTGGATGTCTGCTAACCAAGGATGGCTTCGTTCAGCCACATTGGATCCACGATGGGGATGCCCCCAAATACCTGCAGGTTGCGATGATTGGGTCTTGGCCGGGGTGGTCGCTGGCATACATGTGCTTACTCCGCAGTCCCTTCCCTTTCGATGGCAACGCTGATGTACAAACATATATAGAGAGATATCCTCTGGGTGTCTCCCATGCTTCTGGGCTTTGCTGGCTCCCACTCGGGGCAGGGCAGGAATTTCCCCTCCTGCAGCTACAGGTGCTAGGATTTTTAAGGGATGCGTTTGGTGGCCATGTTGGTCCAAGACAAAAAGAAATGCAAAACTCCAGAACTGTTGGTTCAGGAATGATGCCTTCTGTTAGACTAAGAAATTGCGAGGAAATAAAAAAAAAAAGGTCTTTTCCTGCAAGCTTTTGGGCACACGTACCCTTCCTCGGGCCCAAGGAAAATTAAAGGTGATAAAAAAGTCCCCAGAGGCAGAAAAGTGCAAAAATGAAGTTGCCCAAAAGCTTGGAGAAAAAGATAATTTATTTTTTGCAATTTCTTAGTCTAATAAAAGGGGTCACCTCTGAACCAAGAGCTCTAGGCTTCTGCATTTCTTCTGGGATGTTTCAAAGCCTTTTTCAGGGCAATGCAGGGCGTTACAGCCAAGGTTGGGCTGGGGCCAACGCTCCTGCACTGACTTAAACCCCAGAGGTCCTGGCTAGGGGGCACCCCTGGTATTTGGGGTCAGGCAGGACTTTCCCCCGTGGTCAGGTGGTTTGTGCCTTGCTCCGCAGCGAAGGGGGGGGGGCGCACTGCAGATCCCCCGAGCCCCGCTCTGAGCCTCCTGCGGCCCCTGGCGGCTGACACAGCACACGAAACCCCCATGGCTGCCCATACCACGTGACGCGGCGGGACTATTATGACCTACTCCGCTCTCCGTAGCAAGGGCGACATGGCGCAGCCGAGCCACGTGCTTGGGGGGGAAGGGGTCGCCACCCTGGAGCCGGGCCGACGGGGGGAGGAAACGAACGTCCACGCCACGTGACCGGGCGACAGCCAATGCCGGAGCTCGACGGGGGGGGAGAAAGACGGCAACCCGGAAGTGAGTGCGCCCCGAGCCACATGGAGGGGGAGGAGGGCGGTGGAGCCCCACCCCCCGCCGGGGGGGATGGCGGCGCAGCCAATCAGGGCCGCGCCTGAGGGTTCAAAGCGGAAGTGAGAGGGGGGGGCTGAGAGCCGTGGGCGCTCCTCCCCCCTCCCCTCCCGGCCTCTTCCCTTCTCGCCGGCGCCGTAGCCAGGTAAGGCGGGCGGTTTGTCGGGCTGGTGCGTGGTGACGCTCTTGTTCTCGGCGGGAGGTGCGGGCTGGGGCTGAGCGGAGCGGAGCGGCTGGGGCT